GTTATCTTTATTGCTACCCCCTTCCCCGTCAATGTATAGTGTTGGTCCACAGCGAAAACATATTAGTTTAACAAAATCCGCATCTAAAGATAGCCTACGTTATTTCCCCCTGTGCAATTCCAGTCTCACATCTCACAGCACATCGTCATTAACAAATAACGGAAACAGACCCAAAACATTTAAAAAAAAATACAATAATACTTTATTCCGAGTGTGCTTGCTTTTCTCTTTGGAAGTCATCACATAACGGCATTGTAATACACGGTTCGGCTGTATTAAATATTACATATCTGCCGTAGTTCTGTATTTATATAGCCCTGATGAGAAGACTTCTAGACAAACATGAGGAACTGAAAACGTGACGTGGATCATAAATATATCAGCCATTAAACAACATCTTACATTTCTTTTCACACAATACGTCTCCTTGCAGTATCAACACTAATTCGGCTGACTTTTATATTTGATCCAATTGGTAGATAGGCTGTATTTACACCATAACGGTGCACAGCTGATATAAAGGGACACCTAGTGGTTAAAGCATGTTATTGAATTTCATTATTTTATTATTAGATATTAATAGGATCCCTATAAAGTATATTAATTACTCGTTATTCTCTACTAATAGTTAATTAAAGACTGTATATAATGACTATTTTGCACATCCCTTTCAAGATTTCAAGATTTTCTAAGGTTTATTGACATATCATATAGGCCTACACAACTATGGTGTAGTTATGCACTGAATGAAAAACTTGGGTCGCAGGTTCCTCAATAGTGCATTACAAGACATCTATCAATATTTGTGCATACCTCCAGCAATGTTAACTATGTTGAAGCACTTATTTTAACTGATATTATACATAATGTATTATACTCTTATAAGATGTAGATATTTCATCTCCGGCCTTGTCAGGTATTGAACAATCAATAAATAAAGAACACAGAATTGTTGAATATAAAACACAGAATTTGTGTGATTATACTAAATGATTTACAAATAAACACCACTGCATATTTAACTGTTACACATGCTGATGTAACGCAAATGTTCCAACTTGAGATCAATAAAGTATATCTTATCTTAAGCTGATCGATGGCAATACTGCCATATTTGCAAAATGTGCCTCTGAACCTTAACAAGTGCATGTTTCAGGCTTATCAATGAATGTAATGTAATGTAATATTATCAATTAACAACAGGGGTCACAAACATAAGACCAGCTGTTAAATAAAGCTCTTCTGACCTTAGCTGGCATGTGTGTATATATATATTAATGCTGCCCATTATGGGCACAAGCAATTTTCACCCATTTATTAATTATATGTTTTAAATGTGAGTGTTTCCTATCCCCTAAACCTCCAGGGATGTACACAGTTTAATACTGGCAACTTCTTATGGGAAATACGAAAACGTCTTTTAAAACTACAACTCCCAGTAGAGACGTGCCATAGATACAGAACATGTTGCGAAACAGAATAGCCAGCATTTGTAGTTCTGGGGACAGGGTGGGGGAGGGGCGACGCGGTGGACCCGTTCAAATCCAGTTTTGGACAGTCTGCCGTGCATGGTTCCATCCCATTTCAAGTGCTGTTCGAGGTTCGGCGTAACCCTCGGAGCACACTCTCCAATCACAGAGCTTGAGGACTATCACGGGGTTTGTCAAACAGAGCACATGGTGTAGTCCAAACGATAGCTGGGGATTCTGGGTAGTGTAGTGTCTTCTGCCATCCTTTACTCCGAAAAAACATTTGTTTCTCCGAATCGAAGGGGAAAAATACAAAAGCATTGCACACAATTTAAACCAATCAATGTTGTGTAATTAACAAGGATAATCTGGTGTTTTTTAGTCGATGAGTAGTGCAGATATCACTGTAAAATCAATCGACAGTAAGGGGAATACTTACTTCCGGGTGTACAATTCTCCGTTATCCAATGAGAATGGACGCTCACATTGCCTTTAAGGGCAGTCGACACAAACGAACGCCGTGCTTCCATGAGCGTCCATAGAAGCATATGGACATCCCGGAAAGCTGAAAATGGACGCTAAGGCCCCCCCCCTTGCGTTGAAAAAAGCCGACAGGGGACTTGACATAACGTCAACATAGGCCGACCTGGGAGTGAGGATGTGTTGCCCAGACAGTGCTTCCGATTTGAGGCCTTTTATATAGGCATCTGAATTACTGTTACAATGAAGGCTACATAATCAGCTCACGGCATATAGGCAGGGGTAAAGTGCTATTTTTTATGAGTGGGGGGCGGACCTCACCTCCTCTAGGGGGGTCCTCACCTCCTCTAGGTCCTCACCTCCTCTAGGGGGGTCCTCACCTACTCTAGGTCCTCACCTCCTCTAGGGGGGTCCGGGGGGATGCTCCCCCGGGAAGATTTTTTTTTAAATATTGAAGTTGAAAGCATCAATCTGGTGCACTTTGAGAGCAACATGAAGAGATCTATGGATACCTCTCTCAGCACCCATATGAAACAGAACTGTAAACAGATTTACTATTTCTTTATGGATATTTTACAAATCACTCCCCTTTTAAACTGTATTCTTGTTTTACTGCCATATAGTATTTCATACCTGTTTTTCATTTATTCTCTTATTGTTTGTATAACTATAATGATCATATGAAGGTGTGCCTCGGAAATAATCTTTTGAATAATTTGCGACAAAACCGTTCTAAACACTCAAGAGTCCTTTAGCTCACCAGAGTCTCTCAGTCTGACAGGGGAGGACTCTCCTCCAGCTTGTTGTGGAAACAGCTCCTTATGTCCGTTAGTGCAGCTAGCTAACCAGATGCTAACATCACGGTCCCCGCTAGCACCGGTCCCTCTCTCTCTCTCTCTCTCTCCCTCTATCACACTAAATGTGCTATTGCCACACACACACACACACACACACACACACACACACACACACACACACACACACACACACACACACACACACACACACACACACACACACACACACACACACACACACACACACACACACACACACACACACACACACACACACACACACACACACACACACACACACACACACACACACACACACACACACACACACACACACACACACACACACACACACACACACACACACACACACACACACACACACGAGCTTGAATGACACAAGCACACGTGTATTTCCATGCAACTCTCTGATTGGTCTGGTGACTTGCCTCTGTTGCATTCACTGAACACGGGAAATTGCAGTCCTGCCGTCCTCTCTTGTATCATGATGAGGTTCACGTAAAGCACGGTTAATGTATTATATTATTGAGGTGTCTCAATATATACGTCAATCAATTGGCACCTACTAACGGGGTGGTGGATGATAGGTTTACATCTAAAAACGTATTTTTCAAACATTATTATTTTAATTTTATTTTTCTTTCTTTTGTTATTTATTTTTTTAACGGTCCGCGATCTACCCGCACCACACTCGCGATCGACCGGTCGATCGTGATCGACTGCTTGGCGACCACTGATCTAGAAGATAATCAGCAAATTAATCAATACAGTACTTAAAGGGGACCTATCATGCAAAATGCACTTTTGTATGTCTTTTATACATGAATATGTGTCCCCGGTGTGTCAGGGAACTCACCAAGTGTCAGAAAATACAACCCTCTCTTTTCCTCCATACCCAAATCTCTAAAAACGGGGCTGCAATGGATCTGATACAGACTGATCCAGATTTGAAATATCTCTGAAGTCAGAAACGAGGAGCTCCACCTATATGGCCAACTCTCCACCTATCAGGAGGAGACAGCCACGGCCATTGCTGTTCGAAAGCGCTGGAGACGCTGTAGTACATATGCCAGGCCTGTAGGTGGCGCTGTAGTCTGCCACAAAAGCAGCGAAGAAGACTTCTCACAGATTCAGCCCTTGCAAAAACAGGGCTAAAAAAGAGCAAATAGAGCAAAATGAGGCATGGCTAAAATGCATGATCTGTTTGGTATTTTGAAAAAAAAACTTCGCAGACATGTTTTATATAGGTATGGCCCGACAATATATTATTAAAATATAGCATGATAGGTCCACTTTAATACTCTAGTTAATTGCAGGCCTATTTAGTAATGAAAAAAAAGCTAAGACTAAGCCTTATTTGAACAGATACTCTTCGAAGGTTATACATGCTTTCGTTGGCCAGCAGACAGTGACCCCTGGCTGGGCAGATCCCCTCATTTACCCTTTGTCCAGTTTCTCCAGACACATAATGCTCAGCTCCATTAACCAGCAGACAGCCAGAGAGCACTCCCTCACCACACCACAGGGCACAGCGCTAGTTGTCTTTCAAAATGTTGCTTCTGGCATCTTCACCGTGAAATAGACTTAAAAATCCCTCTCACTTCAGTGCCTGTTCTTTATCCTCTGCAGTAACTTCTGCTTTTTTCTGAAGAACAGTGGAGGATACAGACATCTTTTGGGGACTGACCTCTAAAGGTTAAATCTTTTCGGAGTCATTTTTGAGATGGCTTAGAAGATGATGAAATGTATTTTCATGCACCAAACTCTTAAGTAATTGTTTCAACTTGACACTGAGCCAACCAGTGAAGTTCTCTCAGGAGAGAGTAGACCTCCGCCTGGTGTGTTTTAATCTCTTCGCCAAACAGGACCTATTTCCTAAATAAATACCAAATACATTTTTTTTCTGTTGGTAGTATCAGCCTTTTGTTTGCAGAACGTGGGCAGCGGCTGCACTGACATTCAAATATATTATACATACTTGGAATGTTTAAATACGTCTTGATTTCCTGTACTGTTAAAGTGTTCGGACAGTGTCATCAATTCTCCTTCACCGTCTGTCCTGCTGAGGTAAGACTCTTGTAATAACTTGGCAATCACACTATTAACACATAATGAGATCAATATCTGAAAGTGCTCCCGGTGGTCTCCTCAACAGACATGTAGCTAACATGTCAGAGCAGACAAGGCTCTGGAGGGATAATTGTCAATGGTTGATTAACAATGTTAAACTCACCTGAAGGCTTTCATCCTCCTTCACCAGCTCCTTCTGGGGGAACAGGTCCTTGGCCTTGATGTACTCCAGACTGGGAGGCCCTTCTTCACCCTGTGAGACACAAACCGAGCAGGCCATCAGACACTGTTCTGGCACCATGCAGGTCAACACAACAGTGGGAAACACATAATAGAATACACAAAGTAAAAGTAGGGATGCAGGATATAGATTTTTTTTACAGCTGATTCCAATAACATAATTATGAATGGACCTTATATTTTACATTTTTGGATTATAAAAAAGAAGCACACAACCTGTGGTTTATGCACACATAATGGTCTAAAATGCTTAGGTGTAGTTAGCAAAGATGGAGGATTTCATATTTCATTGATCTGACCTAAGGATCACTATTGTGGAAAAAACACTTTTGACTCTTCAAATGGTTATTTCATTTGACAAGTTTGGTATATCACAACAATTCTACTGTAAATTGCAATCCTGTTTTTTCTACAACCCAAAGAAGACTAGAATGAGGCAAAAAAAAACATTTCATAAAACTAACCCAAAGTTAATATATCTCATTGAACATTTATCTGGGTTGATAGCCTTTGATGCTAGATTCATGCCAGGGGACATTTTACAATCCGCACAAGCCACGTAGGAGATTCAATATTCACTAATGCTCCAAATCTCCCTTTGAATAGGTGGCAACTAACCTTGTGGTCCACCTAGGTGTTGAAAAGTGTACCACTTGATGCTAAATAGCCTTTCCCTTGATTGATTACGAATAGGATGCTAAAGGAGGAACGCAATTTTTAAGAATTGATATTCTGTTTGCTTTGGCACTGTGCATGTGGTTATTGCATGATAAAATGATAAGACAGAACTGGCCATGGGATGCCAGTAGACTTTGTGACTGGATGTTACAGTCTTGTGCAATGAAAGATATAGGGACTTAGTAAAGTCTTTCACAAACTTGACTAGTTTTCATGAGTCATGCTCTTTCTTTTAACTCTTATAGAGATTAAACTATTTTGAGCAATAAGGAAGCACTTCCTCTAGGTCAATGTAATCAAAGGTTGAATTTGAAATACTATTTAAAAAATCCCATGGGAAAGCTTTGCCCTGTTAATTTCTCACTTAATTACAAAATATATAAAAGTGCATTTATATATAAGGTGCAAAATATTGATGCGCATCATGGTTTGGATCATATTTGTGATGTTTAAATGCAAAATGTACCTGCATAAGTGCGTTTTTCTAAACATGGGACAACCTGCTAAAACAAATAGGTGATACGCTCCTTTTACAAAGACATTTCTGTAGCAACTGAGTATTCTCATCGGTTGTTGATGAACCCCATTTGCTTTCCGGCTGCCTGATCACTGCTACCTTTACTGCTCTGCTGGATTTGGCCTCTCCATCCGAGTAGGACCGCATGTCGACGCTGTTTTTTAATGAAAACAGCAATGGGGTCCTGCAGGGTGACTAGAAGGAGGCAGAATGTAGGTAGTATTACTGACTCTGGTTGGTCGTGTGTCCCAGGAAAACAACACAATTCAAAATGCCATACATTACTTCTGGAATGCCTTTGATGTCTCACATGCAAACCTCCTGTCGTGTTTACAATATTTTGTCTCTTAGGGTCCAAGCCGCTGATTGAACCACATGATAAACAGACCACCCATTGGGCTTTTCTGCTAACAGATGACGTTAGTGTTTCTACAGTGACAGACAACCTCTCCTATACAAGTCACCAGGTGTCACCATTAGATTTGGAAGGCATAGAGATCATAGGAATAGAATGGCCAAGCCATATTATGTCAGCTTCTGCGACCTTACAGCTTCGTTGACATGGAAATGACAGCGTGTGCCTACAGGATGAGCCTTTAAGCAGAAACTAGACCAATAGCCCTTTGCCGGTACAGATCTATCAATCTATCTTCACCATACATCGTAATAAAAGGGCTAATTGCAGTCATGAAGCTGGGTGTCAAGGTTGTGCCCAACAGAGGCCTATCACTCCTAAACTGATGAGTCAACTTTAAGTGCTGTCTGGCATTACCATGGCCATCATTTCCTCCAAATGTTGCCTTTATATATTTCATGCTAATGCCCCATTTCCAGATAATACAAACTAAATGTTATAATGCGTTGGACATTTATTTTTAGCATATTGCTGCATTCACACAATGTAACCACAATTGGAAGAATAGGAAAACAACCCATTATTGTTCATAGATTTTTGTAAAGATGGTTTGCCCCACCACTAGCCTTTTAGCCGAACACATAGACAACCAAAATGTGCTACTTTTGAGAAAGATGATACAAACAGTGTACATGTCATTTTAAGTAAGCTAAGCCGGTTGTATTTTTCACACTTCAACTAAAAATGATTGCCTTCAAAATATTTGTTCATCTCTGATACTGGATTAAAGATCTTAAACTCACATAAAAAAGACATTCCCCACATGGCTGCTCCTCATTCACGAACAAGCTAATGAGCCTTTTTCCAAGTCTAAATGCATATAAAACTCATTCTGAGACAGACATATTGCAGCCATACTAAGTGCGTCATTTTCAGACTGGTACACTTGCCAGCCTAGAACTCATACAAATCTCTTTGCAATGCAACGCCACTAATCTCTAGACCTTTGACCTGAGTCAGCCTCGGGCATCAGACTGATTTGACAGCACTGCGTCATCAATTTGACTTATTTTCACTCGAGAGTGGCTGGGCCATGACAGTAGCCATCAGTCAGAGGAGTCCTGCGAGAGTCAGGTCATTATAGGTTGATCTCACAGACTGTCGCTGGGCAGTCTGTACCAGTTCAGGTACAGACTCATTCCAGTCTTATTGTTTAAAAGGAATAAAGATGACATTGGCGTGCCAGACAGCCATCATAAATCACTGGAGGAGATATTGCTATAGAACCACCCCCTAAGAAATTCAATGCAAATCAGCTGAAAGCAATTGCATTCAATCTTTAAACACACAGATCCTACGTCAATATTCCATCCACTCCTTTGGACATACAGTGGGGCAAAAAAGTATTTAGTCAGCCACCAATTGTGCAAGTTCTCCCACTTAAAAAGATGAGAGGCCTGTAATCCAGAAAATCACATTGTCTGATTTTTAAAGAATTTATTTGCAAATTATGGTGGAAAATAAGTATTTGGTCAATAACAAAAGTTGATCTCAATACTTTGTTATATACCCTTTGTTGGCAATGACAGAGGTCAAACGTTTTCTGTAAGTCTTCACAAGGTTTTCACGCACTGTTGCTGGTATTTTGGCCCATTCCTCCATGCAGATCTCCTCTAGAGCAGTGATGTTTTGGGGCTGTCGCTGGGCAACACGGACTTTCAACTCCCTCCAAAGATTTTCTATGGGGTTGAGATCTGGAGACTGGCTAGGCCACTCCAGGACCTTGAAATGCTTCTTACGAAGCCACTCCTTCGTTGCCCGGGCGGTGTGTTTGGGATCATTGTCATGCTGAAAGACCCAGCCACGTTTCATCTTCAATGCCCTTGCTGATGGAAGGAGGTTGTCACTCAAAATCTCACGATACATGGCTCCATTCATTCTTTCCTTTACACGGATCAGTCGTCCTGGTCCCTTTGCAGAAAAACAGCCCCAAAGCATGATGTTTCCACCCCCATGTTTCACAGTATGGTGTTCTTTGGATGCAACTCAGCATTCTTTCTCCTCCAAACACGTCTAGTTGAGTTTTTACCAAAAAGTTCTATTTTGGTTTCATCTGACCATATGACATTCTCCCAATCCTCTTCTGGATCATCGAAATGCTCTCTAGCAAACTTCAGACGGGCCTGGACATGTACTGGCTTAAGCAGGGGGACACGTCTGGCACTGCAGGATTTGAGTCCCTGGCGGCGTAGTGTGTTACTGATGGTAGCCTTTGTTACTTTGGTCCCAGCTCTCTGCAGGTCATTGACTAGGTCCCCCCCGTGTGGTTCTGGGATTTTTGCTCACCGTTCTTGTGATCATTTTGACCCCACGGGGTGAGATCTTGCGTGGAGCCCCAGATCGAGGGAGATTATCAGTGGTCTTGTATGTCTTCCATTTTCTAATAATTGCTCCCACAGTTGATTTCTTCACACCAAGCTGCTAACCTATTGCAGATTCAGTCTTTCCAGCCTGGTGCAGGTCTACAATTTTGTTTCTGGTGTCCTTTGACAGCTCTTTGGTCTTGGCCATAGTGGAGTTTGGAGTGTGACTGTTTGAGGTTGTGGACAGGTGTCTTTTATACTGATAACGAGTTCAAACAGGTGCCATTAATACAGTTAACAAGTGGAGGACAGAGGAGGCTCTTAAAGAAGAAGTTACAGGTCTGTGAGAGCCAGAAATCTTGTTTGTTTGTAGGTGACCAAATACTTATTTTACCGAGGAATTTACCAATTAATTCATTAAAAATCCTACAATGTGATTTCCTGGATTCTTTCCCCCCATTCTGTCTCTCATAGTTGAAGTGTACCTAGGATGAAAATTACAGGCATCTCATCTTTTTAAGTGGGACAACTTGCACAATTGGTGGCTGACTAAATACTTTTTTGCCCCACTGTATCTTTTTCTTGCGCTGCACTCCCTGGTAGATACTTGGCACCATTTACCTAATTCTCTTATGGAGCTGTCCTGACGTTGCACTCCTCTGAGGCCCACAAGAACACGGTGTACTTGAAAACAGCAACAAAGAAAATGCAAACTAATAATGATTTAGATATTGTGTAAATACACAACACAGGCTATAAACTGTCTATACATGATAAAGTGGTGCTGCACATATACACATTACTCCTCATGCAGATAACCTTGATATCACAGCTTCAAGACTTGATGTCTACTTTACATTCAAACACAAGCATAGAGGCAGCTCGGCTTTCCATGATTTTGTCCATTTATTAATGTCTGGACAATCATCCTACACATTTAAAAAGGAAAGTATAAATGCTCTCACTTCCACCGACTCACAAAGATGGAGCGCAGCTTGTCCTATGCCCTACAAGTTTTTGCTTCATCACTGCTGAGAGCCTGCACCCCCCATTCCCCCCCCCCCCCCCAGCTTTGTCCACCCAGCAATCAGAAAGCTGGAGCTGACAGGCATGCGCACATGTACGCCACCATGTATTTCTGAAATATTAATGTCAGAGTGTATAACACATGTTATGTCCTGATGACATGAGTTGCAGTACAGTGACAAGATCAACTGGCAGCTGACTAGACTGTCAGCTGACAGTCTAGTCAGTAGTCACTCTTACTACTTTTAAATCTAGGCTGAAGACTTTTTACCGCTGCTTTTAATTGAACTATTCATATCTTAAACTGCACTGTAACTTTTATCCATGTATTTTTTTTCTTTTAAATGTTTATTTTATTATCTTTGCTTTTTAATGACCGTTTTTAAATGCCATTTTCTTAATGTCTTTCATTTTTGTAAAGCTCTTTGAATTGCCTTGTGTTGAAAGGTGATATATAAATAAACTTGCCTTGCCTGGACAGCCCAGATACAGCAGTTAAACAGTGAGGATGTGAAGGCCTCCTTTTTTAAAACTGAAATAAGGTTTTATTGCTCTGGGGAGGTCTGTTGGAGAAACTGTCTTCGATGGATTTGTGCATGTGAGTGAATGGAAACATTACAATGGTAAAACAGGTAGAGAAAAAGCCACAGGCACAGTCTTTATGAATAAGTGTCTGGTTGCCATGGATACAACAACCTCTTTTTCGAGGCCCTCTCCCTGAAGCCTTTGTAAACAATGTGCTGCTGCCTTTACTCACCAGATTATTTACTTAATCTGACCGGGGCTTTGTCCTGGAGTTGGGCAGATTAGAGAACCACTTCATTATTCAGAGGTGACCTTTTCTTAATATGAGGGCAACATGTGCTTCTATGTCTGCTTTTTAGTATCCAGTGTTTTCGACATATTAAATGCAAACACAGCTTGGCACATTGAAATGTTCAAATGTAACCCAAAACTGTTGGAAAGGATGGGTGGATTGAAACAGAGGATGAAATGACAAAGCAGAAAAAATATGTAAACACGACATAACTAAATAGAACATTTAAAAAATAATCTATCAAATATCTTCTTTTCTCAAGTTGTGTTCGTTGGTGCAGTCATAGTTTTAGGTCAAGCCCAAAGATGGCAGAGCATGACAAATCTTTCCAAATGCACTTTTCTTTCTCCCCGTCCTCCCTGAAACCGTGTTAATATTTTATAGTCCACCATGTTCCCATTTTTAGTCTTGGGCCGCTCTCAGAGAGCTGAGGGAACTAGGCAGCATTTTGGATAAGTAAGCAGAACTGAAACATACCAAGTGAACAGATCTTTCGAAGTTAAACATACCGGTTCCTCTTAAGGAAAACACAAGGTGACATTAAGCAGATGTAATGAACTGTAAAACTAGCAAGGCGAATGTTGCATTGAAAACAAACTGAACTGGATTATAATTCAAAGGTAGCACACAGTGAAAACAGAAGGAGTTGAACTGTGCAGTTAACTTTTAGGCAATTTATACTGAAAACAAATGAAAGAGTCTCAGGTATTCTCTCATTTGAATAACATCCTTTCAAGTAAAGAAAGGCAACATGCTCTGTCTCACTTTGTTGCATTTGTCCTCCAACAAGACCTTGTGGTAATAATATCATCCTCAGATAGGGTTGCAACTCACAATAATATTATTATTATAGATTGAACAGACAGTTGTTTGATCCATAACATGTCAGGAATAGTTTCTGAAAGTCCAAGGATGACGTCTTAAAATGTCATGTTTTGGGAGTCCAAACTCCAATTACCGTCAAATCTATTTGGTATAAAAGCAGGTTATCTTCATATTTGAGACGCTGCAAGAAAATACATTTCTTGCCATATTTCAATGACAAAATTACTAAAGGATAAACGATTATCAAAATGTGTGCGATTATTTTTCTGGCACTGGCTAACCTATAAATCAACTAATGGTCACAGCTCCATCCTCGGTGACATAACACATTGACTGTCACATACTGTACAGCATAGTTCTTAGCAATATGACTGCCTTACTGTCAGGTAGATAGTTACAACTCCTGTCACAGAACCAAGGGTGCAAGAAGGTATCGCCTAAAGCTAGCATATCCTCAAAAGGCTTTTGGCCTGATTCATTTAGCTAGTGGGTATAATATAATCTGAGTCATGGAAAAATCTAAACAAATTCAATCAGGCTTTTTATAGTTCCATTTGATGCAGACAACATATCGCAGAGGGATATAAACATGATATATTGGAGATAGAGGGGACAGTAACTGAAGATTGTTTTCCATCAGAGTTGGATAACAACACAGGCCAGGCTGATGTAAACTTAGCACAACGCTGCAGCCCTCTTCCACAGGAGCAGACTGACGGATCTGTGATCCACAGAGGACGTGGACACTAAATTATACAGAGACTGACGCAGAAGGGGAACTGCCGACTCAGCTGCACCACAGACATTAAAAGGGAGATCATAAATTGTGTAATGCCGGACCATGTCTGGTTACAAAGGGCCGAGAACAGGAGCCAGCAGCTGTGCTCTTCCTGATCCAGCTGATACAACTTTACCACCTTCTCTGGAAGAAACAGTGATTGAAATGAAAGGAGACCTTTACAAATGTTAATGATGATTGTTGTCATGTAAGCATCCATAACTGCAAGTAAACCTACACTTTTGTCAAGATACAGTACTTACAAGCACAACACTCTGATTGCTAATGCTTTTAGTAGTATGATCAAAACTGATTTCCATTAAGTGTTACTACTGCCATAGCTATCGTCTGAATATATTTAGCCATGCGAGCTACATGGCTCTATGAGTGGCAATATCAGACTGTTGGTCAGTCGGCATGTGGACTAGGCTGAAATATGTAAATAACTATAGGATGGATTGCTGTGAGATTTCTGTAGACATTCATGGTCTCCCATGACTTATGAAGTCAAATATCTCAACATATACTGAATGCAGTGTTTCCAATATACAGTAGCTCCACAGGCCAAGTGGAGAACCTGCCAAAGATAATGCCATTGCAGTGTTTCCCTTATATTTCTGGAGTGTCTGGAAAGACCAGAACGACCATTAAGTGTCTGTTATCTCAACTGCTAAAGTCAATGGGACAAGAGTTTGGTAGAGAACGACATGCTAACATGCTGACGGGTTCAGTGCTTTGGTATTTTTAGCTGAGCTAGTCCAGAGAATATTGGTTAAAAAAAAAGAGCGATTCTGTTTCGACCTCATTGTTCTTTATAAAGATTTGCAGAAGTGTTGTGATGCAGCCCTCGAGTGCGTTTAAAAAAAAGCTTTTTAAATGTTCAACTGCCTGTCAGCAACCAATCATATTGTAATTTGTGAGGCAATTTAGCTTTGTGTGCTTCGAGTAATTTAGCATGCAGTGAACACAGCAGTCATCATTTTGTTTTAATCAAAGCTAAACTCCTGGACATTTCTACTGCTGTTCTTCAACACTATTGAATATTTGTGTTCTAGTTAGAAAAAGAGACTTGCGTTGCTCTAAGATAATACTATGTTAATCCAGTGTGTACTAAGCCAAGACAGTGAACTGTGGACATCACTGAAAGGTCAGGGGTCCACTTGTAAATCATTAGCTAATTTAGGCTGAAGGGCAAGAGGCTAAGAAGACCCTGTATTGATCCTAATCCATAAACCTGCTCTCACCACTGTGTCGAGATGCGACCTGAGAGAAACACCTGTTCTCCATCACTCATCTTCCTCTATCCCTCTGTACATACCAAAAGCACAACGTGCTCAATGCAGTGAGCATACTTCACCACTCTGAACACAGTGTGCTCGCTCTGAGCAGCACACACATCTTCCTCCTGACATGCCCTCACTCTCCTCCCTGCCAATCAACATAATGGCAGCTCAAGGCCGGAGTTCAGAGTAATAGAATAGCTTTTCATCATAATGCGCATGAGAAGACACAGAGGAGATTCAATTATTTGTATGCATGTGGAGTGAGTGTAGGTTTCCCACCAATAACTGCAGCGCTCACGTGTCCATCAACACTCCCTGCCAACCCCCCTTTCCCCCACAGATAGGTACACACACGCATGTGAGTTATGGGCATCTGATAGGCACCCATCACAAATAAAAAGCCTGTGGACTTACAAAGCAGTTGAGCATGGAGCAGGACACCCTTCCTGCGAAGCTCATGTCGAGGAGAGGCAGGGCTGTGCCTGAGCGACACGCAGCCTGTAGAGCACGACCAGAGCACGAGGAGCCGGCATCGCCATTCTTCTCCCAGCCGGAGCCTGCCCCCCCCCCTCGGCCACTCCAAACCCCTCTGCCTGCCGCCCCTCTCGGCCTCCCCCCAAACCGTCTGCACGTCCCCTCCTTCTCAAGAGGTGCTGTGTGCCAAAACGCCAGTCCAGACTCTCATTCAAGAAGCCACCCCGCCCCCCCCACCGCTCCCTGAGTTGGGAGAGACAGCACGCTGGTGTCTGGAGACAGCCCCTGTTGCCTTGCTGAAGAAGGGAGGATAGTCCATACAAATTCAAACGAGAGTCCACACGGTGAGCTGGAGTGAGGAAGAGAAAGTAATGGAATCACTGCAGATGTGCCATTTGAGATGTAGCGACAGGATGGGGGGAAACTGCTAGAAGAGAGAGCCGGAGAGCAAGGAAGACGGAGGGAACTGCCGGATGCTAAGCTCCACCCTCTGCATGCGCATCTACCTCTCTCCCTTTCTCTCGCATTTCTCCCCTCTCATCCCTTACTCCTCCCCCCTCCTCCTTGTTCACCCTTCACCGACATCTCCTTGTAAATATGCTTCTCCCTCAGCAACAAGGCGGTAAAGCCAGCCGCTGGCAACCAGGACATGCTCCAACTGCCATGCATGTATCATATGATCGAGCCATTAACGGCAGCATTATGTGGCTCTCGCTCAAGCAAACACACTGTCCGCTTTAAGCTGTGTTCACACACCATGCTGAAGCAAACTCACACGGGGAACAGATAGAGACCCCATCCAGTGGTAGGACAGTATCCCAACACAGATCCGTTGCATTAGCAGCGATTGATCGGAGGAAAAATGTGTGAGAGGAGGGAGGGCGCTGAGGAGAGAGAGTGTATGCGGAGATTTCCAATGACACAGCATTCTACAGACACAAATTCCCCTCACCTGTGTCTGAGTGGGTTGTTGGCACCGTCCCACACAAGAGCAGGGCATCTTTGCAGTGAACAGAGCCTAACTGCAGCAACTGCCTGTGCCTAAAGTCAGGGAAGGTCACTGGATGTATCTATATATATATTATACAACAGGGGGACACTGAGCCCTTCCCCCTCTTACCCAAACCTCCCCCCGGTAGAGTCGTGACAGCCGCTCGCCTTCAGCTGTATGACCCCACATTATGTAACACGTATAGCGTAGTACATGCAGCATGATGCACGACGCAGCAAAACTGAAATAAGGATTCATTTTAGTGGGGGAGGGGCTGTAATGTGTTTCTGACATGGGAGATACAGTTATCACTGGATGTATACAGTATCATGTATACCCATCTATACAGTGCTTCTGTCCAGAGGGTATTTTACACAGAAAACAAGACAACTGATTTATATGTAATCTAATTAGCAAGACGCCAATCAAAACTGCATGCAGGCCAAGAAAGAATGAGAATAATACTGAATTTACAGGAAAATCTTGTTTGTCTCAAAAAATGTATTCCATAGTAGAAATGATAAGAAGTTCCCTCGTAATATCATTCTGGTATGGACAAATCTTTACAAATTATGTCATCCTTTACTCCAAGTTGATTTTTGAGCCAAATCTGAAGAAATTCTCTTCAGCAGCTCCTGAGAATGGGACAGATGGACAGACGGCGGATAATAACATCAAGCCCCCAGCCTGGGCTGTCACTGATACAAAGGCATAACAACTTCATTTCATGCAGATGTTATAGATCCAAATATGCCTAGTCTGAGTTTTCTTCAGATGTATAATCTTTGTAATGGCAATATATTAAAAAGGGGTTATGCTTATGCTGCAGGAAGCATGATGCATTGCACTTGTGTGCAGTATGACTTCCATCTCATCAGGTAATGGACTCTGCTGCTATGAAGTGCACTTCCACAAATCAAGCAGGACCTTACAGATGATCACTTTCATGTCACATGGTAAACCTATAACTTGCTGTATGTATTAACCCAGGGCGATGGGAGAAGGCAATAAAGCATTATGCATTGCACTAAAATAACAGCTTTACAAAAACCCTTACTTATATGGGTTTTGAGTGTAAAAAGCTTGTGTGAGCTGTCATAGTGATTAAGAAGTAGGAGAATGTGCAATGTAAAATCGATGCCATGTTCTCAGTCGCATGATGTGTGAAAGAAAATGGCTCAGCATCACAGTCTGATGGTTTTATTTAATTGGCAACATCCCAATGATTAGGGCTTCTCGTATACACGAGTGCTTTTCATTCAATTAGATTAGCGAGACTATAACAAAAATGGAATTGTAACTCTTATATTCAGGCTTTCAGTTTATCATTAAACAGTGAAATATGCTTTTTGTAAATCAATTAGTACATCCCAATTTAAATACAAAAGCTGGAGGGACAATTTCTAAATATAGCAGCGTAATTATTAGGGACATCCTAATGTGTCCACAGTCCAAACACTGAGCTGCATGATCCCCCTCTATGCCCACCCAGCCCCGCCAAAACTGGCTGCAAAAGTGAGCTCCAGATTTGGCCTCTTGTGTCTCGGGATTTATTTTAGGAAAGGAGGGCAGCCAGTCACCAACCAGCGAGTGTTAGCCCACATGTTGACACACAGCTATAGCAGGAGATAAATAATACACCAGGCACTAGCTGTGTTTATGGAACTAAACTCCATATAGAGAGATACATATTTGCACATTTGTTATTTTAGCATGCCTAATATAATTGAAATCCATACTGTACAAGCTGCTGTCTGTTACTATTCTGCAATTGCAGTTTACAATAAATGTGTCCCACCTAATTATAATACTTGTCTAGGTTAATGACAGTGGAATACTGCAATGAGTCCTATTTGTAAGGAGTGTTTTTATAACAGTTAGCTATGTCAACTCCGAAATGTTTGCCTGAAGCAGGAAGTAGTTGAAGTGATGCATTACACAAGCATTAGCATGTAGGCGGTGTCCAATAAACTGACTACAAGTTCACAAGTTCCCCCACATAACTTATGTCCATTCAGGCATTCATTTCAAATTGAATATGGAAACATCTTAAAACAAAACAGCAGTTCTGGACCACAGACTCTGATAAAAGACACACAGATTAACAAAACAGCAAAATGACCATTAGTTGAATTGAATGAAAGGACAGATCTATGGAAGCCTTGAGAGGTGAGGGAGAAAGAAAAAACACAGAAGAGAAAACGGTTCAAATCGACTTGGAAATGGGTCACCAGCATTTTGCGACCTAAGGACAGGAGGACAAAGGTTTTTCCAGGGTGACATGTCTAGGTTTGCCTTGGTTTTTTCATTTTTTTTGTTGTGTTTGGTATTGTAAAAAAACATTTCTGATCTGTGGCAGAAATGAGTGTTTTCTAAAAATAGGACTAAAAGCTTGTTTTCTAACATTATTGTTACATCACATACTCAAACACACTTGTGTGAAGAGTGCATTGAGGAATTTAAAACCACCAGAAAAAAATACATTAATCCATTAAGTCCTTCTATAACACATTTGAGTTCTGAGCTTCAGCCTCTTGTGGCCACCAGGAGTATTACAACAACAAACACAAACAATTATCCAGACTAAAAAAAAAATAGTATTTTTTCTTTAATCTCTCACCTGTCTCCCCAGATTAAGACATTTAAAGATCATCCTGGCACAACTTCTTTTTTTAAATCAAGAAAGAAAACAATTTAGATCTGAAACATGCCTCACCAGAATAATCTTTCTCCCTTGCCTCTAATGGCTTCTGCAGAAACCAGACACTGACCCAGAGCAAGGTCAAAAAGTCCCTTCGAGAACAAAGTTCACCAACAACAACCTGGAATGCACCATCTGGCTGTAAGCTTCTGGCGTCTAGTCAGAAAAAGGCATACATACAAGTGATCTATACTTTATGCTAGCAGGTAATCATGGAGCAGTGACACAAAAACACCTGCATTGGATGGTTCTGGTAAGAAAACTTCACCTGCTAGTTCCCCCACAGCCTCACCAAGGTAACATAACCATGCATTATGGGTACAGAGTGCACGGTAAAACAACCCCATTGTCCTAGTTTCCATGCTTGCATTATCCTGCAAATAATACGGCAGCATGAGAAGACGGCAGAGTGAACTCAATACTTCCCTTTTTGTTTAAGTGCAAAAGAAACTGGAGGCTGGAAAGATTTGACAGGCTGTGTCACAAGGTGGGATTACAGGAATCGTATTACCTGCCAAACTGTCTCACAGTCCCACCTGAGAAAACTAATTAACCCAGTTTCACAAATAAAATGAATGTCTGTGCATCTTCATCATGGAGTAACTCCATTTCTGTCATGGCGTTTTGCTAATCTTCAGTTCTTTAACTTGTAACTTTTTCAGTGATGTAGAAAAAGTATGTTGGGTTCAGTGCACCCGACACCTTATGAGCACACTTCTGACCACACCTGAAAGTGCTACTACTACTTCTTCTTTCAAATGAAAAACTACAGACATTACATGTTGGAGAAACAAATGATGAGGCGTATCACCACCATGTTTTTTGTATCTTCCCAATAATTCAAGTGTTTTGCGAACATATTTGGAGACTCATACATCAGATTATTGGGCAGCAGATCCAAAATGACTAAATGCCCCCTAAATGTGGGTTATCAGCCAGAACAAAAGGAAGGACAGGAAATGGCTAATACTATACAATAGTAGCAGCGAAAAACAAAACAATGTCTGGTCTCATTAATGATTACCTATTAAAAATAACTGGCTTGTAATCAATAAAGAAAACTCCGACACAGGGCTAGCAGAGGTCTGCGTCCCCATTTGACGTGCCTCGGTGGGTACATTATATGTCCATCAGCCCCCGCCATCAATTAAGCCCAGAGCCCAACTGTGTGTCCCATAAAAAGGCTGCGAGCTGGGCAGCCGGCCACGGTGGCATTCTTTGGACCCAGTTGACCAGAACGTTAGGACACACACATCCTCCTATTACACTTCCTATTTCTGTCCTATAAAAGCTGCAGCCATGAGTAGAGGGGAATGTGTCACTCATCTGCTCCCTTAGTGCTTTCCCACTCTTATAGCATCGTGTATACTGACTAGTGTACATCTACTGTGGTTTGCCCCAAAGCTACCTTGTTTCTGACATCACAATCTGAAATATTTGACAACTTACAGTATTCTTTATGCCTAAACTGAAGACCTAAACATTTATTCAAAGAGGAAATTGTATGTCTATGCACATTTCTTAAGCTCTGAGCAACTTGTCCATTCCTTGTTAACATAGAAATCCGATAATTACCTGAGACAAAAATCCAAAGCTTGCATGGCTCTTTTCAAATGGACGTAGAGTTGTGTGACCTAGACATAGTTTTGCATAACGCACGTTACTATGCTTCAGTGTAATGACAACTCTTCGGCCCACGACTGCAGCATGATTAGACAAAACGCTGCTTGTTCAACAGAGCAACATCTAAGACTTAGCAGTCCACGAGAAACAAAAGTG